CCTCATTTTATCTGACCTTAAAGGTGACGAGCGGTCCAATGAGCAAATTGGTCTGACCGCTTTACACACACTGTTCCTGCGTGAGCACAACCGTCTGGTTTATCATCTGGCACAGCTCAATACTCACTGGGACGGAGAGAGACTCTATCAAGAAGCACGTAAAATCATGGGAGGATATTCACAGGTTAGAGACACGTTTAGCTGCATGGATTACAGAAATATTGGTTTGTCTTCACGTGGTTCAATCAACTCAGTGTATTTTCTGTCTGTTAGGTTCTCACTTTCAGAGAATACTTAGGTCACATTGTTGGTCCAGACTTCATTGCCAGTCATCTTTCTACCTACCCTGGTTATGATGAACACGTGGACCCCTCGATCTCCAATGTGTTCGCCACAGCTGCCTACCGATTCGCTCACCTGATGGTCCAGCCCCACATGTTTCGTCTTAATGAGACGTACGAGGAGCACCCTGTTTACCCCAGCCCATTGCTGCACAAATCCTTCTTCACACCGTGGAGGATCGTCTTTGAAGGTAATGCCAAGGTCTTTTCACCTTAATTGAAAATATTAGAGACCAGTTAGGTTTGAATGTCACCACACCAATCACGACTCATCATCAGGTAAGACAAACCTGTTTTGCCATTAGTGGGCTGACATTTCCTCAGTCCAGGGACACAAAATGTATCTGTTGTTGAAACTAATAAGTATCAGTATACTGTATGTTTCAAAGCATGTGTAAAGGTGACCATGAATACAATATATTTGGGTTCGTAATGGCAGGCAGTGATGGTAGAGGTGACTATTTATTTTGGTCATTAGAGCAGAAAGTGGAACACTTAGCCTATTAAAAGCCCTGTTTATTTTTTCTCTATTTTTTGTCATGTTATCTGTTTTTCTCATGATTTGAGAGGTGATTCCCTGAGATTTTTAAAATCAGAAGTGGGCCTTAAGATAGGAAAGTTTGAGAACCACTGCAATAGGGTGTATATTTTCTTACTTGCTCAGAGCTCTGCTCTGCAATCTGTGCTGCCACTGATGGCTGGAGGCTTATTACAATAATACTGAGTAAATACGTCTGAAGAGTGCCATAGAGCTGAGCGAATGTGCAGGAAAGCAAACAATCCTCCGAGAGATCCTCCAGAAATCCATACGTATATAACAGTCTTACACTGGGTGAGGCTGGCATATTTCTCTAGAATTATCAGTGAAAGCAGAAAAAAACATAATTTCTTTCTCTTCCATCGATTGCCTTTTAAATCCTTTCCAGCATCGTGAATGACAGTGAAACAATTGTATTAATTGTGTCTAACAAAATCTTAATCTTAAATTAAGTTTGCCAAGTAAGCAGTTCTTGCTTTCTTTACAGCATTAAAAGAAACTCTGAGGTCTTTGAGATATGTACGATGCACTTCTAGCCCAGTGGCTTTCCAGAGCCGCTCTGTCCTGCAACACTTCGGTCTCAGGGAGCAGACAGCGTCTGTCATCCACGGAGAAGTGTTGTAGGCAGCCCTAGTCACTGCGGTCAAGTCAGCAGACACTCGGTTCTCCGTGGTCAACCCAGCAGACACTTAAATATTAGTGCACCTACGGTATATGCTGAAATTCACGGTAAACGCATTCAAACGGCACAGATCGGGAGCGAGCGAACGACTTTGCAAAGTTAGCGGAAAGATTAACGTGAGACAACATCTGGTTTCCAAAATAGGATGTCAACCAAGCGTATAAACAAATTGCATTTGTGGAAATGGGATGAAATTAATTATATTAACATTAAGTACATTTGAGGGTTGCTGGAAAGATAACGAAATTAATAATATCTGACTTACTGATATGTATGTGTTCAGGACATTTCTGACCACATCCAAACAAAAATCAAACATGTTAACTGTACCAATTAAGATATTTTATGAAGTACAAACTGAACTGAAATTGCACCTTCAAATAGCTAATTTCTGAAATGTTTAAGGAAATATAAAAATATTCTTGTCAATATTTCCATACAATGACTGATGTATATGTGTTCAGGACATCGTTGACTCATCCCATACTGAAAATCCGACATTTTAACTGTACCAATTAAGAAATATTTCAAAGTAAATGTCATACGTCTGTACCGAGAAAATATCTAATAACTGAATATTTCAGCTGCTATAAAAATATTTTTCTCAATAATTCTATACAATGACTGATGTATATGTAATCAGGGCATCGTTGACTCCACCCATACTGAAAATCTGACATTTTTACTGAGAGAGAACCAGGACATTCTGGTGTAGCATTTCAAAATTAAAGCCTGTCAAAATGTCATTCATGAGCCAACTTCCTTTGAATTTCAGATTAGATTTTAGAGGAAATGGTGCATAGTTACAAAATAATTTCACTACAGGTTAATAGCAGACCACCTCAATGTGTCACTCAGAGAGAACCAGGAGGGAGAGCCTTCATAGCTTGGACCAAACTAGGCTCAGGTGTCGCTCATCAGTGGCCGATTAACATCTTGAAAGACAGACAGCAAACAGGACACAGACCCCTAATAGAAGGGAGGGGTCATCACAAAGATATCTTAATTGGTACAGTTAAATTGTTTAATTTTCTGTATATGTGTAGTCAGAGATTTCCTCAACTTGTGTACATCAGTCATTGTCTGGAATTATTGAGAAATTAGTTTTTATAACACTTCAAATATTCACTTATTAGATTTTTTTGGTACAGATGTATGACTTTTACTTTGAAATATCTATTAAACAGTAAAATTGTTAGATTTTTTGTATGGGTGGATTCAACAATGCCCTGAACAAATATACATCAGTCATTGTATGGAATTATTGAGAAAATACTTTTTATAGCACCTGAAATATTTAGTTATTTGATGTTTTCTCAGTACAAACGTGTGACTTTTACTTTGAAATATCTCTTAATTGGTACAGTAAAAATGTCTGATTTTGAGTATGGGTGGAGTCAACGAAATCTTGAAGATACATGCATCAGTCGTATGAAAATATTGACAAGAATATTTTTTATAGCACCTTAAACATTTCAGAAATTAGCTATTTGTAGGTACAATTTCAGTTCACAGTTTGTACTTCATAAAATATATTAATTGGTACAGTTAGCATGTTTGATTTTTGTTTGGATGTGGTCAGAAATATCCTGAACACATACATATCAGTAAGTCAGATATTATTAATTGAATTATCTTTCCAGCAACCCTCAAATCAAAGAATAAAGACACTTCATCCACAATGTAGTTGCATTTTCCCTTTAACTCACGATATGCAGGTAACATGTTTTATACTTGATGTAAATATAATAAATTTAATCTTATTTCCATCCATCCATCCATCCATTTTCCACCACTTATCTGGGGTCGGGTCGCGGTGGCAGCAGGTCAAGCAGGCCGACCCAGACCTCCCTCTCACCGGCAACATGTTCCAGCTCATTCTGGGGGATCCCGAGGCGTTCCCAGGCCAGCTGGGAGATGTAATCTCTCCAGCGTGTTCTGGGTCTTCCCCGGGGTCTCTTCCCAGTTGGACGTGCCTGGAAAACCTCCAGTGGGAGGCGTCCAGGAGGCATCCTAATTAGATGCCCGAACCACCTCAGCTGACTCCTTTCGACGCGAAGGAGTAGCGGCTCTACTCCAAGCTCCCTCCTGATGACCGAGCTCCTTACCCTATCTCTAAGGCTGAGCCCGGCCACCCTACGGAGGAAACTCATTTCGGCCGCTTGTAGCCGCGACCTTGTCCTTGCGGTCACGACCCAGAGTTCGTGACCATAGGTGAGGGTAGGAACGTAGACCGAGTGGTAAATTGAGAGCTTTGCCTTCCGGCTCAGCTCCCTCTTCACCAAGACGGTCCGGTGCAGCGCCTGCTTTACTGCTGCAGCTGCACCGATCCGTCTGTCGATCTCCCGCTCCATTTTACCCTCACTCGTGAACAAGACCTCGAGATACTTGAACTCCTTCGCTTGAGGTAGGCACTCCGTCCCCACCTGGAGGGAGCAATCCACCGGTTTCCGGCAGAGCACCATGGCCTCAGATTTGGAGGTGCTAACTCTCATCCCCGCCGCTTCACACTCGGCTGCAAACCGCCCCAGTGAATGCTGGAGGTCACGATCCGAGGAGGCTAACAGGACCACATCATCTGCAAATAGAAGAGAGGCGATCCCGAGACCCCCGAGACTGACGTTCTGCGCCCCCAGGCTGCGCCTAGATATTCTGTCCATGAAAATCACGAACAGGACCGGTGACAAAGGGCAGCCCTGGCGGAGGCCAACACCCACCGGGAACGTGTCTGACTTATTGCCGAGAATGCGGACACAGCTCCTACTGCGGTCGTACAGAGACCGGATCGCCCGTTGTAACGGGTCCGGCACCCCATACTCCCGCAGCACCCCCCACAAGACCCCCCCCGAGGGACCCGGTCGAAATCCTTCTCCAAGTCCACAAAGCACATGTAGACTGGTTGGGCAAACTCCCAGAACCCCTCCAGTAGTCTTGCGAGGGTAAAAAGCTGGTCCACTGTTCCACGGCCGGGACGGAATCCGCACTGCTCTTGAATCTGAGGTTCGACAAGCGGTCGGAGCCTCCTTTCCAGCACCCTGGCATAAGCCTTCCCCGGGAGGCTGAGTAGTGTGATACCCCGGTAATTCGAGCACACTCTCCGGTCCCCCTTTTTGAAGATGGGAACCACCACCCCGGTCTGCCATTCCATGGGCACTGATCCCGACCCCCATGCGACATTGAAGAAGCGTGTCAGCCAGGACAGCCCAACTATGTCCAGCGCCTTCAGCATCTCAGGGCGGATCTCATCCACCCCCGGCGCCTTGCCACCAAGGAGCTTTTTAACTACCTCAGCGACCTCTGCCAGGGATATGGGTGAGCCTCCCCCTAGATCTTCAGGCGCTGCCTCCTCTGCAGAGGACATGTTGGTCGGGTTTAGGAGTTCCTCAAAGTGCTCTTTCCACCGCCCGACGATGTCCTCCGTCCGGGTTAGCAGTTCCCCCCCTGCTGAGAACAGCCTGGGGTAAGCCCTGCTTTCCCTTCCTGAGCCGTCGGATGGTTTGCCAGAACCTCCTTGAGGCCAACCGAAAGTCCTTCTCCATGGCCTCCCCGAACTCCTCCCATGCCTGAGTTTTAGCATTCGCGACCACCGCAGCTGCAGCCCTTCTGGCCTGCTGGTACCTGTCAGCTGCTTCAGGAGACCCCTGGGCCAACCAGGCCTTGAAGGTCTCCTTCTTCAGCTTGACGGCTTCCCTCACCTCCGGTGTCCACCACCGGGTTCTCGGGTTGCCGCCACGACAGGCACCGATGACCTTCCGGCCACAGCTCCTAGCGGCCGCGTCCACAATAGAGGCTTTGAACATGGTCCACTCGGATTCCGTGTCCCCAACCTCCCTCGGGATGTGTGAGAAGTTCTTCCGGAGGTGGGAGTTAAAGACCTCCCGGACAGGGTCCTCCGCCAGACGTTCCCAGTTCACCCTCACTACACGTTTGGGTTTGCCGGGTCTTTCCAACCGGTTCCCCTGCCATCTGATCCAACTCACCACCAGGTGGTGATCAGTTGACAGCTCTGCTCCTCTCTTCACCCGAGTGTCCAAGACATACGGCCGCAGATCAAATGATACGATTACAAAGTTGATCATTGATCTCCGGCCTAAGGTGTTCTGGTACCAGGTACACTTATGAGCCACCTTATGTTCGAACATAGTGTTCGTTATGGCCAAACCGTGGCAAGCACAGAAGTCCAATAACGAAACACCATTCGGGTTCAGATCGGGCAAGCCGTTCCTCCCAATCACCCCCCGCCAGGTTTCTCCATCATCGCCCACGTGAGCGTTGAAGTCCCCCAGGAGAATTATGGAGTCGGTAAGCGCCGCCCTTTCCAGGACCCCTCCCACCGACTCCAAGAAGGCCGGATACTCCGAACTGCTGTTTGGTGCATAAGCACAAACCACAGTCAGAGCCTTGCTCCCCGCAACCCGAAGGCGCATGGAGGGGACCCTCTCGTTCTCCCGGGAGAACTCCAACACAGCGGCGCTCAGCCCGGGGCTCGTGAGTATCCCCACTCCCGCCCGGCGCCTCTCACCCTGGGCAACTCCGGAAAAGGACAAAGTCCAACCCCTCTCCAGGAGCTTGGTTCCAGAGCCAACGCTGTGTGTGGAGGTGAGTCCAACTATTTCTAGCTGGTATCGCTCCACCTCCTGCACCAGCTCCGGCTCTTTCCCCGCTAGCGAGGTGACGTTCGACGTCCCTAGAGCTAGTCTATGCCGCCGGCGATCGGCATGCCCGGGCCTCCCGCCCGACCCACTGCCCGGTCTGCATAGCACCCGACCCCGATGCTTGTCCCTGCGGGTGGTGGGTCCACAGGGTGGCTGCTCCATGGTGTTTATTCGGGCTGAGCCCGACCGGGCCCCATGGGCAAAGGCCCGGCCACCAGACGCTCGCCTACGAGCTCCCCTCCTGGGTCTGGCTCTGGGAGGGTGCCCCAGTTTCCCTGGTCCGGGCGAGGTGGCTGTAGTCCGTGGGCTAACTATCATAGGGGTTGTTTTGAACCGCTCTTAGTCTGGGCTCTCCCCTGAAACCTGTTTGCCTTGGGAGACCCTACCAGGGGCTAATGCCCCGGACAACATAGCTCCCAGGATCACTGAGCCACTCAAACTCCTCCACCACGATAAGGTGGCGATTCGCGGAGGAGATATATGAATAATAAAGAAATATGAATTCATGTTGTGTATTATTTTGATAATAATGCTTTACCTTCAATTAAATGTCATTAGTCCTGTAAAAATATGTAATCTGCCTAGAAACAAGCGATGGACAACTAAGGGTCAGAAAGTGGAATCTTATTTCCACATAATGAAATTTGTCTATACGCTTTGAAAAATTGAAAAAGTTTCAGGTTCGCCTGAAAAAAAAATGCACTGACAGCATGAATATATTTTTTTAATGACGCAGATGAAAGCTAAAAACTCTCCCAAATCATTGCACAACGTGTTTACAGTCTCCACAAACAAATTTTACTTCGATTGAGTGAAGCAGGCCAGTATAAATGAGGTCTGAGTCAAGCCAAATTCTCATTTTTGGAACCAGCTGTTGTGCTGCTCTATTCTAATTTTATATACTATATAACTATATATTAACTATATATTCACTTGTCTTATCACTAAGAGTATTCAATAATCCTAATAAAGCAGTTTGGCATCATTTTGAGTCATTTTGAGCCATTTTCAGCTGTCATATCTCTCCATAAAATATTCTCCTCTCAGTCCGTGTCTCTTTAAGCCTTTGTAAGGCCTGTGATTGGCGGATTTAATCATGTGACACCTTGTTGAATGCGGAAGAGCCTAACGAAAGCAGTAGGCGAGTTATTTAGAAGATTGACAGCCTGTTATCCACTAAAAATCTCGATATGCTTGGCACAACCCCCATGTCTAAATTCATTGGTCCAGCTGACTGAATGCTGGCCATTTAGTCCCAAAACCTCCCAGAAACGCCATTCTGATTTGAATGGATTAGCTGCATTTTTCCTCACGAAAACCACCAAAAGGTACGCTGAGTTACAATTTTGTTTTCTGTGGAGTGGTACTGCGTTTCGCTGGCTTTGTTTATGTAACTTTTAAACGGTTTGACGGAGAGGAACGAGACAGCCGTGAATCGACTCGGGGATGAGTCCTACTGCTGTTTTATGTATCAATCCGCCATGACAGCTGCCGGCTTTGTGATGACAGATGCAAACGGAATGCATAATACGCAGGTTTTGTGGTGAAAAATACGTGTTATTGTGGTAAATCTTCTAGATATATTAGTTCATGTATAATTGTGTTTGCAGTGTGTAAAATGGCGGGTATGATGATTTTGCCCAGACGTTTGTCATTAATTCGGTACATAATATGTGTGGAGGATTAACTATATTTGTTTATGAAAAGTGCATTCTACGACACACTACCACGCTAAACGGTCTCGCTAGGGCCCCAAATGGGGGCCAGTCGTCATAAAAGGGTTTTAATAGATGACACGTACGTTTTCGAGTTCACTGCGAGTTCACATCGAGGACACAAAGTTCAAATGCATATTTTTACCATTACAAGACCCGTTTACCATGGACCTCAAGGGAGTCCAGAAGAATGCTGAAATCCTGTTTCAGTATTTCAGAGGACTGGTTGGAAATGTCATTGCCTCGCACATGCACGACCAAGTCCTGGGCAAGTGGGCGTTTGGCCAAGATGCTGGGAAACTTTTCCAGGATGTCAGTTACCTTTGCGCCCGGAAAGCAAAAAGTAGCCGCCGCTTTTCTCCTCACGTTCCTCACGATCGAGTCTCCAATGAAACAGTTGGATGCATTCTTACATGACAACACTGAAAAAGTGTTAGGGTTAGAGTTAGTTAACTTTACTTAAAAGTAAGAAATGATATTGAAGTGCATATAATAGCTTATTCTTCTTATTCATATTTTTGTGTACATTATTATTATTACTATTATAATATTGTGAATATTATCATTATTATTAAAGCAGTTAAAAACTACAATGAGTTGCAGAGTGTATGAGGTCATGATTCTCAGTGGAATCAGCAGCACTAGCGAACACTTAAAATGTCCCCTCGTGTTCCTCAGGTGGTGTGGACTCAATCATCAGGGGCCTGGTGGGTCGTCCGGCCAAACTGAACACACAGGATAACATGATGTCTGATGAGCTGAGGGACAGGCTCTTTAAATTCACCAGTGAGTTGGCACTGGATCTGGCCGCCCTCAACATGCAGAGAGGAAGAGACCATGGACTCCCTGGTAGCCTATAACTCTCAATGAGTCTTTCTATTTATTTTCTTGTACCTCTAGAATTTTATGCAGACATACTTTATCTTAAACATGGCTACATTTTCACCCTTTGTGCCCCTTTTTAGGCTACAACCAATGGCGTAAGTTCTGTGGGCTGCCGCAGCCCAAAAATAAGCAACAGCTGTCAAAAGTGCTGAAAAATAAGAAGCTGGCCGCGAAACTGCTGAAACTCTACAAAACACCTGACAACATTGATGTGTGGCTGGGAGGAGTGGCTGAGCGGTTTGTCCCCGGAGGAAGAGTCGGACCTTTGTTTGCCTGCCTGATTTCCACTCAGTTCCAGCGGATCCGCCAGGGAGACCGGTAAGCACTAAAAATGCATTATTGGCTGACATGTACTAAATATGTGCAGATAGTTGTGTTACCCGCACTTTTAAACATTAACTACCAATTTCAGACTTTGGTGGGAGAACAAGGGAGTTTTCACTGAGGCCCAGAGGGACTCCCTGAGGAACACCTCACTCGCCCGTATCATCTGTGACAACACTGGTATCACTGATGTACCAGCACAGCCCTTCCAGTACTCTACAAGGTCCAGTTTCACTGAATGTAAAGACATCCCTGCCTTTGATCTCAGTCAATGGAAGGAGAATATTGAGTAGAAGTCTCCCCCTGTCTGACTAAAGGCAGCTACATCTCAGGGCATCTGATTTTACTGTGTGTTTAAATGTAAGGGCAAATATACATACAATATCTGCTGGATATAAATCTGAGTGCTAGCTATCAGTTGAAATGTAATATTTTCTTAGTTCCTTTTTATTTGATTTTTTCCCTCTTCAAAATGTAGATTTTTATTCCTGACCAATGAATGTGACCTCTCTGATAATTTACAAAATGTACAAAAAGAATTATGTGGAATATAGTATTGTTTGTTTTAAGAGTTAACAATTTACATCACCTTAAGTGTAACATCATGAATAAGTGTTATTTTGAATTATGACTCAGTATCATTTTTCTAATAGTTTCAAGATCTCTGGTGCTTGTGCAACATTGGACCATGAGACAATACATACTGCACAGCATACAGGGGTCACACTGGCTTGGTATATACCATGTTTAAATATATAACATTTGATGAAGATTATATATAATAATCACATACAAGTCAAATCACAATAAATGAATCCATTGATCAACTTATTTGATCATGCTGTGTGCTACTGCTTACATTCTTACAAATGTTGTCTGCGGGACCTTGAAACCATAAATCAGTGCGTGTGTGTTTTTGGTGTGTTTGGAGAATTTGAATCATTTTTAATAAGATGACATTTTGCGACTGTGAACTCCAAATGTGTTAACAGTGTTTGCCGTTTAGTTTGGTTTACATGTATGAAGTAAGATAACCAACACATGAATACTTACCACTTACTACCAAAGTAGCATTTAAACAACATTTCATGCAGCTTTACCTTCATAGTTTCTATCTGAGCTCTGGGGCACTAATGACACTAACGACATTTCAATCAGGAAAGACTTGATTCGAATATAACAATGATTTATTATACATGGATAAAATATGAATAGTGCAAAGTCTTTGGCGATTGGACTCCATCCTGAAGCAATATCACCGAGGGTAGTGATGAGGTCAGATAAGGCCCAATCCCCCCTGGAGTCCAGACACTGGTGGTGGTGGTGATGAAGGGAGTTGCTGCAATCTGATGACGAATGAGGAGCATGACTGTGATGCTGACTGGAGGTGACTGGGGTGGAGGAGGGTCACATCTGCTTAGACCTGAAATGACAACTGACAGCAGCAGAGAGGAGAACACTTTTTAAAGTTTGACAGCAATGTGATTGGCTTCAAGGAAACTGCAGAATCTGGTTGGTTAATTTAAAGTGAACGCCCACAATCAGTTTATAGAGTAATCACAAGGAGAGAGAGATTAAGAATGAAAAGAAGAGAAGATATAGTGTTCCTGACTGAATTGATACTTAAGCTTCATTAACAGCGGTCTAGACACAAGTCCTGTCAGCCTTCTGTAGACTATGTTGCTCTTTAAACTAAGCAGTTGCTCTGACAGTCTAATGATGACGCAGTTGGGTTTTTCATTGTAATAAAAAATTCACTCAATGCCGATGTAAAAATCATTAAACAGGACATTTATTCTTGCAAGAAGGAGAGAGAGTTGATTCACATACAGAATATGCATCAAGGCTGCTCATAGGTCTGTCTCTAAGTCTCTGATATTTATACTGAGGATAACATACAAGTGCGTTGGAACAGAGTAATTTGCATAAGTTCTGGACACATCACTTTGGAGACGTTTCTTTGACAATTCGTTCTGTTAAAGGGTAATCTTATCCTAATCAGGAAACGTCATGGTTGCAAATCAGCCTACGTATATATACTGACGTGAACACAACAGATTTACTATCTTTCCTTGACGCCCGTTCATAAGTAAACAAACAGATGAGATAGCCATTAAGAAAGACAACTAAGACACTTAATGTCTTAACATTAGAACACAGCTGAGAAAGCTTGTGTGAAGATTGGTTCATACATGGACACAGAGTTTATGGAACCAGCTGCTTAGATTACAGTGGCTAAACAAAAACACTGTTTAAGTTTTTCCAACAGAATCTATACGCATATTCAGGATACTTTATGCTGGCCAGACAGCAGTGGACTTGGTTTAGATGAGTTTACAAACTGCTACAAGTACTTTTGTTTTTTGATGCTTTGGCAACATTGTTCTCGAAGCTTTCATGCCCGTAAAGTCCCTTTCAACTGAATTGAATTGTTAGAATTTGAGTTGATATGTGGGAGTGCTTATATCATTACTCTTTAATATCCCACACACCCTTCCAGCCAACACATTTATTTTTTTACTTGATAATTGCTACAAAATGTTGCCAAAACACACTTCATAACCAAAGACAACGTACTGAAGTGTCTGCCAAATTAACCTTTTTGTTATTTTTTTTTACTTTATTACTTTATTTGTATTACTTTACTTCTGTAGATGTTGTTATTGTGATACAGTTTGTTTTTTGTTTGTATTTATGGAAGGTTCCTGACTTCATTAAACTTACTTGTGGAGAATAATTTAAAGGTCCACCCTGTAGGCTGTATCCTGCATACAACTTGGAAATGTGGGTCTTGTTAAATTGCTGTGGGCTACCAATCACCATGAAACAAAGGTACACAAATATCTACACCAAGATGAGATTTAGGTCCAAACTAGTTTAGATCATATAAAATGGAAGCATATAGGTCCTGCAAAAAGGGCATGGACCTGTTTTTGAAAGCACTAATAGGGGAAACCGGTTGGGAAATTCCAGGTGCCACCTGTCACATTACATAAGTATCGTCAATCACTTTTTAAAAATGGTGTAGCATTATGGCTTACCATAAACCACACCTTGTTCTATTTCTGTCTGGCTTACTAATACATCCCACAAATTGTCAATCTGAGTCATATGCCTTCCGATTGGGTTCAATTTAAATGTGCTAAAATCCAATTGAAGTTCACAAAGGATGGATCGGCTGTGGCTCATAAAGATAGGACTTTTGCACAGGAGACATTCTTAGTGTCCCAGTTTGACTTTGATTTGTATAAATACTGCGCATGCACACTCGCACCTGTGTGTGTGTGTGTGTGTGTGTGTGTGTGTGTGTGTGTGTGTGTGT